TGCCTTCCTGGGGCACGGAGGAGCTGGGAGCGCTGGATTCGTGGAGACGGGACCTGCCCTCCGGCCCACGAGCAGGAAGGGGTGCGGGGGGAGCACAGGGGTCACTGTCCCCTCCGCTTACAGGGGACAACGAGCTAGGCCAGGAGAGCAGCTTTGGCCAGCATCAAATCAAAGGCAGCAGCAGCCTGAACCCTCCCGCGCTCCTTACTGCTCCCCGGGCCCGCGGGCTAGTGCCAAAAGCAGCCCCGTAGCCCAGCACTGGCTGCAGCCGCCCAGCTTGAAGGCCCCTTTGGGCCGCACAGGGGGACCTCGGGCCCAGGTACCACCCGGCAAAGGGCAAAGGCAGGATCAGGGTTTGCAGGGAGCCCGTCCAGGCCACCCCTGCAGCTCACGAGGCCACAGAGGGGACATGGGGACAGTGGCACCGGGCACTCGCTGCGCCAGGGCTGCCCTGCACACACCACTTTTGTACTAGGCTGTGTTTAAAAAAGTAATAAACTTGAAGTTTACACAACGAGACGACGCTTTAATGGATGCTTCACGGGGTCGGCATTGAAAGGGAGGGGCCACCTTGAATGCAAGAGCTGTTTATTAATATTTTATTGATGACAAACAGGTTTAAAACAAACTGAGACAAAATCAAAAAAGAGTAACACCGTGCTAGCACTGATGTCTGGATTTATAAAACTCAGAGTAACTGCTACAAAGGAAAAGAAAACAGCACGAAGCAGAGGCAAGCATGCCGATCCGTGAAATCAAGGGGTGGGGAGAGCAGGGGGACGGGACTCCATGGATTGCCTTGCACAAGGGGGCTACAGCTTAAACCTATCTCAAAACTATGCAACTACGCAGCCTAACCAGAAGGAAAAAAAATTAAAAAGCCCTTCGGCAATGTTAATAAATAAAACAGTCCATCTTACAAGGAAGGAAGGTGGCCTGTGTCTCCATTCTTTCACATTTTGGAAGTCTAAACTCTGGAGGCTTTTTCTGAAACAAGAATGGGTTTTTTCTTTGTGGAAAGTTTAGTTTCGGGTGCAGTTCTTGAACTACGTTCACTGCAGGACTGGGAAAAATATCCAAACAGCTGCTCCGTTGTACGCGCACGCGACACCGCGGCCGTGCTGGGGGAGAGACACTCCGAAGAACTACAGCAAATACAGGGTATGAAAGCGGGTCAACAATCTACAAGGACAGTAATGAAAGGGTTTTCCCCCCCAGTTACAAAAAGTGGGGTTTACATCATTTTAAGTACATTCATATGAGAGGTATTTTTGAGTTCCCCCCCAAAAAAAGACTAGAAACACTTGGAGCCCTTTGAGTATAAAGCTAACTTAATTCAAACTTTAAAAACATCTAGGTTAGTAATTCACACTCTACTGATCTTAGCCAATTAGGAAGGAAGAGGTTAGACTAATTTAGGGGTCTGATAAAAATGGGTTTGTAGGAATTTAAGTTCTCTGCGCTGTTTCTAAAAAGGTTTAGACACAAATAAAATGCTCCCAGTGTTCCCATATGACTTAAGACATGGGTACAACTTCGAAATTGGATGGCTTCTTTTCTGTGCTGTTCTCAGTTTTGACTTCCAGCTCTTTCTCAAGCCAGCATTGATGGCACAGCCGCGTCTACTACCTGACAAATAGGCTCCGGGTTCGTTTTCCAACACCTGAATCTTTCAGCTCTCTGCATTAACCACTGAAGAAGCCACACAAAAGCCTAACCCATTATCTCTAATTATACCTGTCTATCAGAGGCCACCTTCCAACAACTGCCTGCTTTTTCCATTTTTTTTCCAACCTGCTTCGGTAACATTGTAGAGTCTTTACTTCAGAACCAATATAATCCCCAGTTTCCACTACTTCTTCCCCGGACGTGGGAGTGAACAAAGCAGGCCTAGTAGCATCGTTTCCTCCAGGGCCGAAGGGCACAGGAACCCATCCCCTTTGAAGCGCACAGTTCATCTTACAGAAAGGCTTGTTTTTCAGAGTAGAGTCCAGACAGTAGCCAATTAAAGCATACAGAAAACACTTTGAAACCCTCCTCCTGCTCAAGCGCGCAGGCTCCTTTCACTCTAACTGCTATCCAATGTAGGAAGAAGAGGCTGATTGCTGCAACTTTAAATCACACAAAGTTCTCAAGGTTGGTGCTCTAATTTGGTTTGGTTTTAAACTTTAAGCTTCTCAGAACAAGGATCTCCCAGGTCCACCACTAAGGATTCAGAGGCAAACTTCTAAAAATTCAGTGCTCCTTTGAAAGCATCTCTTTAAAACCACCTTGTCACAAAGACCCGTTCAGAATGTGGGCGACACGATGACACTAGGATTTCAGAGCCAGTGCTGGACAACAAAACCTGCATCTCAGAGTTGAGCATCAGCTGGGACCTGCTGGATTTCTGCTTGGCTTGCTGTCGCTTAGTCAGGAACTCTGTCTCAGATACTCTGCTTCTAACGTGTAAACAGTTACTGCTAAAATATAGTACCCCTTTTAAACGAGAACAACTCTGAGATGAGGGTTTTCCTCTCCCCGCCTGCTCTGAAAAGTAATGCCCTGCTCGCAAAGAGAAGGATGGAATGAGGTGCCACCTGCCAGGGCCCTTCTCTGGAGCGTGCTGGCCTGGGGGAGCAGGGACGCAGCCGGGCGCGCTGCGCGGTGGCCGGGCCGCCGGCGCTCGCTCTCCTCTCCGGTCAGTCTCCTTGTCTCAGTGAGCTAGCAGTGGGCTCTCTCGCGCGCTCCCTTCTCTCTCTCTCCTCTCCGTTGGTTGGTTTCTTTCTCCTGTTGCTCTCACACAGTGGTGCTTCAGTTTTAGCAGTGGAAAACAGGTATCCATTTTATTTTATTTTTTTTATTACCCAGAATAAAATGCTGATGAACTAAGCTCCACACAAGCTTAGCTCTTCTTCCTCAACCTGAAAAGGCAAGAAGGCAAAAGAGCGTTTGCGTTAGGTGCTGCTGGTGGGACAAGCACTGCTTTTTTTGAAGTTAAAGCAGGGAGTGGGAAGCAGGGGACTGAACTCGGGGCCTTACACTCTAATACTGTGACAGTCCCGTCACTCCGCCATGTTGATATGCACGTTCACCCTGGTAAGTAGAGTCCTGTGACAGCGCCACATCGATCTGAGACTTAAACTCATCACCAAGGTAACTGTCCTGCAAATGAGAGCAGTTGTTAGGCCTCCAACGGGTCATCAAGCCCAAGCGCTCCCTTACAGGGCGCAAAGTACCACCTAGCAGCCAAAGTCAAGGATAAAATCCGAGAGCAGCTTTTAAATCTACTTTTCTGCTGCAGAATTTCTACAAATCAAATTGAAATCCATAAGCATTAAGCTTTTTGCAACAACCAGCTGCTGAAGAAGCAAGCATCAAACCCCAACATTTCAGAAAGGCAGCATGTAGATAAAATTCTGCTTACCTGTGATAATTCTGGTTGGGAGAGCCCAGGCTGGCTCATCTGCGACGGCTGACTCATGGAGATATACCCCTGAGTCAGGGGGCCCTGGGAGAACGGCTGGGACACCACATCCTGGCTCGCTTGGCTGTTTGGAAGGTTTGACTGACTAGTTCCAGGAATCGCAAAACGGTTTTTCTGACGCCCACCGCGCCCGGTCTTTCCTTTTGGTGCCCCGCGTCCTGGAAAAGGGTTTATCCCAGCCATCAGAGAGAGCTTTCACACACAGACAAGTGCAGGAATTAACTACTCGCATGAAGACTCGAGCGGTGACTAGCAAGAGGCAATACTTTTATGCATTCAAAGCAGCAAGTGCAGGGAATCGAGAGGCAGGAGCGCCAGGGTAGACAGGGCAAAGCAACTCAGTGCTGTATTTGCATTCAGCACAACTAAGACTCGAGCACATTGTCACCTGGCTTCAACCCAGCAGCAAGGGGAGCAAAAGCAACTCCAGGGCTTCTGCCCCGCTCCACCCCTGCCCCGTGTACCTGCAGCTGGTCCGTTGGCCTGGCCAAAGTATCCCGGTGGTGGCATGGGTGGCATCACGAGGTTGAAAGGGATGGGAATGTTCATAGCAGTGACGTGGCTGGGGCCAGCACTAATCATCCCGATCTGGTCATGGGTTTGGAAGTACATGTTGGATGGGCGCCCTAGGGAGGGGAGAGAGGGGAAAAAGGACACAGTGAATCCAGTTCACTATTCATCCTGCACTGCCAGCTTTCAGGGATGTCTGTTTGTCGTATATTTGCCTTTTATATACACCCTTTATTCAAAAACACTGAAACACGTGCACACAAAAGTCTCTCATCTTATATTTGCTTTGCAGACATTATGGAAGCCTTTGCAGTCTAATTTAACTAGGCAAGAACCGAGGGATTTTGCTCTCCAATTCTGATTTTTTTCTGTAGCAACTCTTAAAAAAACATTCAAAAACTGAAGTCTGCAAGACACCACCCCCCAGGACTAATTGAAAAGTCTATAAAAACGTTGATTTTGAGAGCTGCTTCTACCTTGACTGCTCCGGTCATAGACAGATCCTGGAATAATGGCCTCACGTGCGTCGTACATGGCAGTAGTCATAAAACGGGCACCCTGGAAGCAACACGTGAAGTTAGACAAAGCCTCTGCACAAAACTAACACCTGCCGTGCAACCCGAATAAGCTTTTTGGATAAGAATACAGTCAAGCTCTGCAGGCAAGATTGCCTACTTCAAAACTGCTGAGAAAAAACAAGCTAGTTCCAATACAGTGTGATATTTTCCATTTTCAATGAGACAATGAAATAAACACTTGTGATTTTACAAACAACTCATTTTGCACTGTGAAATATTTGATGAATTTCAGTCTCAATTACTCATGTCTAATAACCTTGCTATTTTCACACAAAACAATGATTTGATGTTTTATTCGCCTCAGATTAGCTCCTACATGAGTTTTTTTTTTTTTTTTTTTTTTTTTTACTAACTGCAAAATAAAAACAGAAAAGGCTTTTCTAGAGAGCCCTTGACTTAAACAGCTGAAGAAGCAACTTTTACTAGAACCCAGTCCAATATCTAAGGAGCAAAATGGAAAGACAGGGGTGTGTGAGGTGGTTGAGCGTGTGCTCCATCCTTTTGGAACTGGTTATCTAGCCCCAAATCTCTGCCTACAACAGGCACCTGCAGGACAGGGAACACCAGCTTACAGGATTGATGGTGTTGACAAGTTTCCGGGGCTTGCTGAACTGCATGAGACTCTCCCGGAGGTTGT